GTCGACCTTGCTGTAGTTCTGCATGTGGAGCGGAGTGTCTGTAACTGTACTCACAGAGCAGATGAACAAGCCGCTGTGGTTTTCAACTTCCTCAAAATGCCATATTCTACACCTTTGTAGGACTTTATTTTTAATTCAGGCACCAAAAGCAGTCATGCAGCGTGAACTGGGGAAGTTTTGAGTTCACATCAAACTCTTTTATTTTAAAAGAGCAAGAGAAATGCTGTTGTCCATGATATGGCTGTGCTAAACACCACTTTAAAGACATGTTGCCAGCCGTCACATTATCATACAAGCTTGTGCTCTTTCTGTTGAACGTCTGTGGATGGATGTCTTTTGTGTTTGGATAGTTTTAAACTGAATTTTACAGAAATTATCCAAAGATGTGGTGAAATCAGAGCACTTATGATACCAAGAAAGGATAAAAGTGGTTATTTGCCTGTTCCAAACCTTTTAAAAGAAAAAAAAATCCTATGCAGTCTTTATTGAGGTGCCTAAAAGTACAAAAAGAGCTTTTAAAAACACGATTACAGATGTCACCGACAGTCATTGTGGTTTTAGACATATTGTACAAAATGATACATGCACTTTATTTGTTTGCCACTAATATTATATGGTTTTTGCATATCGATAATTCATAGTTAACATACATAATTTCTCCTCAATAACATTAAAAGCATAAAAAAGATTACCAGTATGTTATACCATTCAAAAAGTTTTGGGTCGAAAAAACCAAGGCAACATTTATGTGATCAAAAACACAGTAAAAACAGAAATTTTGTGAAATATCGTTACAATTTTTATGACTGCTTTAGATGTGAATATATTTAGCATCATTACTGCAGTCATCAGTGTCTATGGAAGCTCATTTCCACCTCGTAAGAAAAAAAATCATAATTATGAAATAAAAAGTTGAAATTATGAGATACTGAGCCATAATATAAAAAGTCGCTATTTTGACATAAAAAGCCGATATTGAGAAAAAAAAGTCCTAATTATGACAGAAGTGAAAATTATGACATAAAAAGTCAAAATTGTCACAATTGTTTTTGTCATAATTGACTTTTTCTAAAAATATAGACTTTTTATATCATAAGTTTGACTTATCTCATAATTGTCCTTTTTAATCTCATAATTATGTAATTTTATCTCGTAGAACTAAGTTTAACTTCAGTGTCAATGGCCCATTTCTGACACATAAAGAAACATTGAGAAATCATAATTATGATATAAAAAGTCCTGATTTTGAAATTATGAGATACTAAGTGATAATTATGAAAAAAAGTCATGATTATGACCTAAAGGTAAATTTTTGTCATTTTGTTTTGTCACAATTATGACTTTTTCTAATAATTTCGACTTTTATCTCTCTTTTTTTTTTTTTATGTGCTCCCATGAGAGATATAAAAAGTCCTGATTTTGAAATTATGAGATACTAAGTCATAATTATGAGAAAAAAGTCATGATTATGACCTAAAGGTAAATTTTTGTCATTTTGTTTTATGTCACAATTATGACTTTTTCTAATAATTTCGACTTTTATCTCTCTTTTTTTTTTTTTATGTGCTCCCATGAGAGTCACGTGATCTTCAGAAATCAATCTAATATGCTGATCTGCTGCTCAAGAAACATTTCTGATTATTATTATCAATGTTGAAAACAGTTGTGCTGCTTAATAATGTCTTTACTGGCACCTTTGATCAATTTAATGCATCCTTGATGAATAAAAGTATTAATTTATTTCAAAAAATCATACTGACCTCAAACTTTTGAACAGTAGTGTATGTTTAAAAATGCATTCAATGATAAGAACAGCAAGAATGACGTCCTGTCCAAAATGAAACTATTTTAATATGATCTTCAGGCTCAAGATGACAGTCTTCTTCTAACATCCTCCTCATTTCCCTTCAGTTCCGAGCCCAAAATCCTCTTCTCCTACAAGTCACAAATCGATGAGCCGGAGGACTCTGACGTTCACCTGCCCAACACCTCGTCCTCGGGTCTGGGCCGGAAAGATCTGGATCACGGCTCGTACTCCAGCACGCAGATCGATGGCTCCGGAGCGTATCTGGACGACGTGGTGTCGGGGCCCTTCAGCGGAGGACACAGCATCGACAGCGACCGCTGGAGGGCCCTCAACACCTGAACACGCTTTAACACTGACCTGCACCATGCTGTTCAACACAGACCAACATTTGAGCTCAGTCTGTCATGTGCTGCCTTGATTTGGGAACAGTTTTCACAGTCGGTGCTGTTATTTAAAGGGTTAGTTCACCCAAAAATGAAAACTCTGTCATTAATTACTCACCCTCGTGTCGTTACAAACCCGTAAGACCTCCGTTCATCTTCAGAACATAAATTAAGATATTTTTGATTGACCACTGGAGGGCCCTCAACACCTGAACACGCTTTAACACTGACCTGCACCATGCTGTTCAACACAGACCAACATTTGAGCTCAGTCTGTCATGTGCTGCCTTGATTTGGGAACAGTTTTCACAGTCGGTGCTGTTATTTAAAGGGTTAGTTCACCCAAAAATGAAAACTCTGTCATTAATTACTGGATCTGTTTCCTACGTTGTTGTGATTTGATCTGAACGGGAACAGTGTGTCCGTGTGGCGCAGCTGACACAGAACAGCATACGCTGTTTACTTCCAGCTGATATTCTCCAAAAAGGCGCTACAGGGTAATGCAGAAGAGACGAATTGTTGAATAAAGTCTTTTTTTTTTTTCTTTTGCGCACAAAAAGTATTCTCGTAGCTTCGTAAAATTACGGTTGAACCCCTGATGTCACATGGATTCTTTTACAGATCTCCTTGCTACGTTTCAGTTGCATTGCTGTCTATGGGAGGGTCAGGCAGCTCTCGGATTCCATCAAAAATATCATAATTTGTGTTCCGAAGATGAACGGAGGTCTTACGGGTTTGGAACGACATGAGGGTGAGTAATTAATGACAGAGTTTTCATTTTTAGGTGAACTATCCCTTTAAGATTGATTTCAGTTTTATTCCATGAATCCAACATTCCTTGTGAAACACCAGTGCTCTTAATTCTACATTTGTGTACTCGGAGCTGTACCGCGGGCAGGTTTATTGGACTTTGTGATGTGTGTAATCCAATATATTTCTGCTGAAACCACAAAAGATCGCTGTTAGCTCATCTCTAGGTGATTTCAGACTAGTTTCTGAGTCATGCTACTGATACCGGCGAAATGTTTGCTCATATTTTGATGCTCGTGTTTATTTTGCACTGATTTGCTTGCTAGTTTGAAAGCTTAAGGACCCTGAAATCTACTTTGACTGTGTTCGTATGCTTCATGTGGACCGAGCGTTCATCTAGACATTTGTAAAAACATTTATTTCTCAGTGCTATATCATAGTTTTGAAAATATTTTCTTTGGATTTTTATTTATTTTAGTTATCTGATGAGTTTTAGACTTGGGCTCAGTTCTTAAAGTGAAAGCTTATATTGTGAGCTTGATCTTTGTGCGTCTTTGTAACTGATAATGAAAGCGGAACCGGCTCAAGTCAGGTTTGTCATAACATCATTCCATGTGGGAGAAAGTGGGAAAAAAAGGACCATACTGGGAAAAAGCATTTGTTTTATTTGATAAAATACAAGTTAATTACAACACAACTTTTTTGGTGCACAGAAAAAAAATAAATCTTCAATTAAATTTGGCCTGAATAAAATGCTTGTTTCTTATTGCTTATTTCTCATTGCTCTTTAAATATGAGTTGAGCATGAAGAGAAGATGTGTCATGATTAAACTGTACCTATGTAGAGATGTGTGTGAATGATCTGCTATGGTTTTATGAACTGGATTTTAAGTCTTAATTAATTTTGGAGTTTTAATTTTTGCACTGAAACGCCACTGGAAATGAGTTGCAATATAATCTGAAATTCAGTGCAAATTGTCATTTTGCTCACAACCAACGCTTTGCTCTGCGTGTTTATTTCATTTTTTAGTGAGTAGAAGCATATCTCAAATATATTTTGTGTTTTTTCTTCCCTGAAATGCTTTGTTTAAGATCAGGGTATTTATTCTATCAGTCTATAGCAGTAGATTAAATGTTATAAAGCTTATTTTGATCAGATGAACACTGAGCTGAAGTACATCACTGTCTGGAGTCACGCGGACAGCCGAGGACTTTTATTTTGGAACACACTTCCATTTTCATGTAATCACTAAAAGAACGGTTTTACATTTGAATATTCTAGATAAATAAATTGTTTCCATTCTGTGACTTGTGCTTTCATTTATATGTGTTTATATCGAAAAGGCTTAATGTGTCATGTGATGGCTTTTTTTTTTATGAGAACATTGTCAACAAATAAGGGAGAGATTAAAATATAAAAAAAATATTATAATAATAATGAAAAAAATACAAGACGGGGGTATATAATTAAACAAAACACATCATGTGATGGCTCTCAACTTAAAGATTTTTTTTTATTGCAAGTCACCATTTCTGCAGAATATTAACACCATTGCTGTGTGAAGGAAATAAAGACGTATGTCGTTAAAATTTACTGTAAGAAATAAAAACAGAAAATCTGAATATGTAGATAAAATAATATTAATTTTGCATGAAAAACAATAAGAGCTAATTAAAAGAGCTAAATAAATCTATTATCATTATTATTATTTGTGTACCATTTCATTCATTTAATTCATTCATATAATAATAAAAAAACGATTTTTCATAATTTATATAAAAAATATTGAAGAGTAAAATAAAGTGCATTTGTCAATTTCCGTGTATTATATGTCACTACAAAACAAATGTTGCTTTGTGGAGCGCTTTCAATATAAGCACATAAATTGTATGACGTTTATGACTAAAAAGAGAATAGATACAAATAAGCAAGTAAAACAGCAAGCAAACAATTAAAATGAATGAATGAATGAATGTCACCATTTTTTCCTCCCGCGACCTTCATGTGACGTCAGTGCTTTGAATATAACTACATTTCCCATCGTGCCTTTCGCGGTCACGTGACGCCTGATTACCCATAATAGGATGTTTGATGATTTTATCCGCATGTAGCGGGACACAGTGACCCTGAAGTGAGTCGGCGTGATTGTATTCCTCTTGTTTTTGAGTGTAGGGGTGGTTTTCGGGCTGATGGGGGCCGCGGACAGCAGGAGCAGATCGGTGTCGTTCGGACTGGATGCACAGGACAATATCAGGGTCCTTCACGGAGTTCAGGTGACACTCACTCAGCACAACATCTGCATGATACTACTGTACCGCTGTATGCTTTCAATGATAATTCTATTGTAATTGTGCTTTTATGAACAGAAGTCTACAGTAACTGACCCTGTTGTCCTCTTATGAACTTCAGTGGCTCTGAGAAATGAAAGTATCAGTTGATCTGTTAGTCTTTCACTGCTTTTATTGCTTCACATGTGATATAATGATACATTTGCATGTTTAACTTCCATGTCTTGTTTGCTTGGATCTAATGTGCTGTGAAATAGAAACCTGGACAGTAATTTTATCTGCTCTCACTCAAGGTCAAAGACACAAAACAGTGAGATAAGACTGATCTCTGAACAGTGAGAGCTGTGTGTTATTTGTTGTATTTTTTTTTTTTTTTGAGAGCTGTGTGTATATATATATATATATGTTTTTTTTTTGTCATTTGTCAGAATTTTACTCAATTAAAAATCACTGCGTTTAGCCAAAAGCATACTTAAGTTAAAGTAACGCACACACACACACACACACACACACACATATATATATATATATATATATATGCAGCTTTTGAAGTTCATACCCAGAAATACACCTTAGAAAGGGAATCGTAACACAGTTGATGCTATTTTAATGTCAGTTGTCCGGTGATGTTCTTCAGCGGATGCGAGAGTCTGGACCATCATCATCATCATCCTCATCATCTAAACCAGAGAGTGCCAAACCTGAAGCAGGTAGGACCGCTTCTGCTCCTCTCTTCAGCAACACTCGCTTTATATCTCATATGTGACTGTTATTCTGATGTTTCAGGGCCATCTGCTGCAGAAACGCAGGAGGAGCTCAGAAGACGGTTAGTGTGTTAGATATTTGTATCAGTATTTCTGAAGAAATCTTCTGCCGTAATAACTACTGCAGCTCTGATAACAATCTGTAAATCATGTGGTTACACTTTACTTAAAGCCTTTATGTATCATGCATTATAAAGGGATTCACAATGTACGTTATGCATTATTCTCTTTTCAGAAATAATTAACCAAAGTTAAAATGCACTATACTGTTTGAAGGTTTGTTTGTCATGTTTTAATGCGTTATACTTTCTAAAGGTGTAACAATGAAATAGATAAGTATTATAATGTACTATAACTGGATTACAATACATTATAATTGTATAATTGTAATGTATTATAACTCATGAGTTTATACAATGCATTATACGTTGCATTACAAGGCATAATTGATGCATTAAAACTACATTTATAATGCATTATATATAAAGGATTTAATAAAGTGTTACCAATGATGTGTTTAATCTCCTGACCTGTAGAATTGCATGTCTTTCATTAATAGTTTCATTTATATATATATATATATATATATATAGAGAGAGAGAGGACCAAAAAAAGTATTATATATTTGATTAAAATAATTAATTATATAAATAATTATGAGAAAAAATTGTTTTTAGAATTCTTATTATTATGTTATGATTTTTTAAAAGTCTCATTACTGTAATACAGTATTTTTTGATTTACAGTAAAACATACTGTAATGCAATGATATTTTAAATTGAAATCAGCATACATTAAAAGCATCAGTGTTATATTAGTATTATTTATATAATGTTTGAGTTTTTATTAATATTTTGAATTGGTGTTTTTTATTTATTTATTTTTATTTGTTGTAAAAAAAAATGTAGTTAGTAATTTTTTATGTGTTTTTGTCATTTTGTCATTTTTAAAGGGGTCATATGATGCTGCTAAAAATAACATTTTTTTGTGTATTTGGTGTAATGAAATGTGTTTATGGGGTTTAAGGTTCAAAAAACACATTATTTTCCACATACTGTACATTATTGTTTCTCCGCTATGCCCTGCCTTTCTGAAACGCGTCGATTTTTACAAAGCTCATCGGTCTGAAAAGCAAGGTGTGTAACACTCCAAAGAGAAAGGAACAATTGAAATCGCATCATATGACCCCTTTAATAGTTTTGGTTTTAGAGAACGATAATAACCCTGAAAAGCATTACATCTAATACAGCCATGATATATAAATACTTAGTTTAATTAAAATATTATTCTTTTTTTTCACATTACAGTAATGAGAATGAGATTATTATGATTAAATGAGATTAAATCAGATAAAAAATTATTTTCAGCTCAAATATGACCCGCATTCACTGAATTCAAGGCTAGTTATTAAACATGACCAATTTTTTAATGGTGTCTAATGGTCATGTAATTAGTTTCTGTCGGTCCCTGTAGCTGATGTGTGTGTGTGTGTGTTGGCTGTAGGTTCGAGCGTGAGCAGGCTCTGGTCCAGGAAGAGTTGGCACGGATCAGCCGTAGAGAGAGAGAGAGATGGCGGGAGACGACATGAATCCAGCAGCGCTGAGAGAGACAGCAAAGACACGCCAGGAACCAGACAAAACACACACACACACACACACACACACTTTCTCTCTTCTTTCATTTCTCCTGACACTGTCTGTCCTTCTCTGACATTTTTTAAATATATAATTTTAAAATGTATTTTAATTACATATAATAATAATAATAATAATAATGTACCTTTTTCAATTGCAGCTAGATCCTGCATTCGATGAGTGTTTTGTAGCACTAGGTGGCAGCAGGAGTGTTTGATTTAATGTTGCTGTTTGAGGTTATGCTCTCTGTTTAATTACATTGTGTGTAATTTATAATAACCAGGATTCATCCTTAATTATAATTACTCTGTTTTGCATGTAAAGCTTTTAGTGCTCACGATTGCAATCTTTTATGTTCATTTCAGTTCATTCTTCCCTCGGCTGATTGCTATCCACAGCACTGATCGTACATGTGTATTGAGGCTCATTTAGACACCCAGACATGTGTTAATCCCAGTTAGTTAAACTAAACGAGTGTAAAAGAACAGCAAACCACTGTAAGAAACGCATGATGCAATATAGAAACAGATCGAGGCGGCTTAAAACTGCCACAGACCTCATGTGGGTTCATTTCATTGATGTTTTTATAAATATTGCAGCCGATGGACCTCAGTCAGGTTAGATGTTATGTTTCGTCATGACTTTTCTCTCCTCTCTGTTGTTTCTCAGCCGGATGAGTTGAGTGTTCGGGTAAGCAGCACAGCTGTTTTATTGTAGTTTTTATGTGTCATTGCTTCTTAGTGCTGTATGTAAATAAGACGACAAACACAGTCTCTTCATCAGAGCCGCTTTAAAGTCAACACGAAACTGCTACTAGATTCACACACAATATTCAACAACAAAAATGCCTTTGGACTTGATTTTATACGTGATGAACTGATTGCACGGTGAAAAGTGTCTCTATAATGACAGGTGATTAAAATAAGAGGGTAAGATGAGCGTCGTTTTCAGAATTTTTTTATATACTATTTATTAATATTTTGAATTAGCTTTTATTTTTATTTTATTAGTTTTTATTTTGTCTTCAGTTTTCAATAAAATTTTAGCTTAAGTGTGCTTTTGTCATTTTTATTTGTTTTTTAGTTTATTTTTATTTTAGTTTTAATATTTTTTTTATTTCAGTTTTTAGTTTTAGTAATTTTAATACTTCAACTTAAATGAAAATTAGATATGTTGCAAGGTTGCAAGGTTTTTAATATTTATATTTTATTTCATTTCGGTTACCAAAAACAGTCTTTTAATAGTTGTAGTTAACAATAACAACACTGAAAACAAACTTTTTTCTCCATGTTGTCTTTAAAGCTGTTAGTCAGATAATCACACATTGTGTGGGGAGTGAAATCTCCTGTCAGTAAACAGACTGAATGTGGATTTGCTTTATTGCTTTATGTGTGTGTGTCTGTGTGTGTGTGTGTGTCTGTGTGTGTGTGTGTGTGTGTGTGTGTGTGTGTGTGTGTGTGTGTGTGTGTGTTCAGTCAAATCAACAACACAAATATGATCTGAAGCCTCTGAGAAAATGAGAAATATGACTCCAAACATTCGGAAATCTTACAGTAGCAATAACACACACACACACACACACACACACACACAGGTATTCCTATCATGATGGCTTCATTCATCCATAGGTGTAGTGGTTTTTCTACTGTACAAACTGTATTTTCTATCCCCTTACTCTAACCCTACCCCTCACACAAAACTACAGGCATTTTTACATTTAAAAAAAAACTTCATTCTATATGATTTGTAAGCTTGTTTCCTCATGGGGATAAAAAAAAATGTCATAATTTACTGGTATTACTATCCTTGTGGGGACATTTGGTCTGCATGACGTAGAGAATACCAGTGCGCATACACACTCACTCACACACACACACACACACACACACACTTTGAATGTGTATCATATTCTACATGCAGCTGTAGTGTGTCTTTTCATTCTGTCCCATCATACTTTGTTCTTGTGTTATTGTACTTCATGGTAGTGTTGAGTTTGTCATCACAGAGAGCTCATTTCTCTCTGGCTAATCTCCGCATTATTCAGTGAGTTTGTGATGATATGACGGCGTTTCTGTCTCTTTCCGTTGTGCATGGCTTTTCGAACTGGCCGTTTCCATCATACGTCAGATACACCAGAGGACTTCAGATCTTCATCATGCTGTTTCAAACATGTCAGTTTTAACAGGTTTCTTTATATTTGTGAGGATACAAAGTGTGACAAACATAGACATGCTCACTGCACTGGCATTTTCCTACAAAACGCCTCGTCTTTGATGTTCCTGCTTCGGGCTGAAGGTGGTTTGTTTTCTCTGATGTGTTCACAGTCGTATTGAATATAGTTGGTTTGTCTGCATTTATAAATACATCTGTTTGCATAAATGCGTTAACGGAGGTCATGATGATTATGCTGCTTCATCTGAACCGCAGTGCGCGCTCGTGTCACGTATAAACATCCTTTATGCTTCTTCTGATGAGCAATACGCCACTTTAACACGTGTGTGTGTGTGTGTGTGTGTGTGTGTGTGTGTGTGTGTGTGTGTGTGTGTGTGTGTGTGTGTGTGTGTGAGTGTGCGTGCGTGAGCGAGTGAGTGAGTGAGTGAGTGTGAGTGTGAGTGTGAGTGTGAGTGTGAGTGAGCGTGAGCGTGTGAGCGAGCGTGTGAGCGAGCGTGAGAGCGAAAGCGAGCGAGAGAGCGAGAGTGCGAGAGTGTGAGAGCGAGAGAGCGTGAGAGCGAGAGAGCGAGAGAGCGAGTGAGAGTGTGTGAGTGTGAGAGAGTGT